TGCATGTGGTTTTGGATCATTAAAACTTGTAAAACTCAAGTTGATGGATTTGGTTTAGGTTTTGATCATTGGATTTCACCTTCTAACAACATGCATGTTGTTTTTGGGTGAAATCATACCACCATAATCATCAAATTCGACATGCATGAACATGCATGTCAATAATCTCAAAGAAAAGTGTTTATGGAGAAGAAAAATGCAAGAAATTTTGATATTTTTGAAAGAAATGTGAACAAAATGTAAGGAAATTGATTTTACCTTGAAGATCAAGTTCAAATTATGAATATTCTTGTGTAAAATGAGGGATATCTGCTGGAAATTTAGTGTATTATGGAGCTAATTCATAGAGGTAAAGAGTGGGGGTTTTAGAGAGAAGAAAAGAGAGAAAAGAGAGATTCTATCTCTCTGGATAGCTCATCTCTCTCGTCGTCTCTTTGGGGTTTTACTCCACCAAACTACAGAGATGCTTATGAAATCATGAAGAATTGAATGTAAAAATCTCTCCTAGTGATATTGTTTCTAGGTTCGTCATTTGCAGAGGAAATGAAGAGTGAAGTTTTTAAAGAGAGAAAGAGATAGGTGGAGTGAAAGAATGAGCAAATTGATCAGGGTTAAGGAAAAAGTGACTTGGGGGAAGAGATGTGAACGTGATTTTGAGGAGAGAAGGAGTATTTTCTAGCATTCATTTTTTTATTTATATAATTTATAAGGTTTGGGGGTTATGTTTATAAAATATAAAATCTTGTATTGAATTTTATGACATTTTGGCTCCTATGCTCATAAATAAGCTAATGTTTATAAATTATTGTCCATAATATAATTTAGATCTCATGATATATGTAAATAATTAAAGATGTTATATATAATATAAAATTTTGGGGGAAGTTTAAAATTTATAAAACTTGCATTTATTTTATAAAATTTTGACACTTGTTATAAAATTTGGGCATTTTGGAATATCACAATGGATGTAGAATATCTTGGATTTTTTTGAACAACATAAAATTTGTTAACACCATAATGAATTGAGTTTAATATTTGAAAAAATCAAATTTTTCAAAATAAATAATTATATTTGGTAGAAAGTTACATAGTTTGATTGAAATCAGATTATTGGCATTCTATGTAGTGATTCCGAGATTCAAGCGAAATTGAGGAATCAAGGATACTAGTCCTAGTTTTCAACTTTGACTTAAGTTTCTATGAGAGTTTGACCTAATTTCTACTTCTAGGTCAAGTGCATGATGTATCTACATGATTCATGCAAAGATGTTCAATTCAAGGAATGACCCGAATATGGATAGTCATTAAAGTTAAGTAGTTGTAAAATTCACATACCAATGTGAAATCTAAGTACACTATTCTTCGATTCTACTTGTTTTCGAGTTTCGAGTAGGTTATAACTTAACTTCTAGTTACCAAGTCTAGTATGTGTCGTGCCTATACGTGCAACTAAGTTTATTTAAATCTAGAACTGTCTCAAAATTTGACGGTTGTCACAATATGGTTTCAGGTAATTCTGGTACTAAGGGGAAGGGCCCGGCTTGATGGCACAACATTCTCTCCCATTATTTCCGATTTTTGATACTGTACTTTGATTATGTGACATTTATAAATTGTGACGGTTTTGGAACAATTTTTATACGTGTAGTACTTGTTTTAAAAATCAAGAACTTTATCCTATTTTGGGTTGTTACACCCTTCGCACTAATGCACTTCCTAGGCTCTCTTAGGGTTTCCACCTCACCCTGGCATCAGTTGTTGAAGGACTCCTACAAATGTCAGCTAACTACCTCATGAATACAATCACATGCAACAAAACTTAATTAATTTTTTTACTAAAAGATCTTATACTACAATGGTTGGATAAAAAAAATAGTTACGTAATAGAGCCAAATCAGTCATTCAAAAGCTATTTAACCTTTGCCTCATGTAACTAAATGTATTCATTCAATAGTTTGGGAGTCACTTACTTTAGCTCAGCTGATTGCACGCATCACACCCCTTTTCTTAAAAACTTTTTTGGAATATTCAATTTCTTTTAAAATATCGTATTAACTCTCCAACTTGAGTTTAGACACACCCGAGTGTATGCCCAAATCCATCAAACCAAGGATCTCATAACTACTTGTAACGTCCCAAAAATAATGAGTAAAAAATTCATTTTAAATAAATAAAAACCATTCATTCATTTGTTCATGTTAATAGTATTCTCAAAACATCATCATAAAATCAAAAATAGCATGCTAAATCATAGTTGGTCCTTTCCCTTTTGAACTAGAAGTCCCTAAAAACATTTGAAACATAAACCGTAAGCACAAAGCTTATGGGTTCCCCAAAGTATCACATAGCATGCCAAATCATAGTCTTACAATCAATTCCTATCATTGGCAAAATCATGGTCTTTCCTTACAATGTCGAGGGCCAAATCATGGTCCTACATATAAGTATCAGCGACCACACCATGGTCTTCCATGCAAGTATCATGAAAACAACTAGCATCCTACATACAAATTCTAGGGGACAGATCTCGGTCTTCCATACAATCGTCAGGGGCCAAATCCTGGTCTTTCATACATATACTAGGGACCACATCCTAGTCTATCATGCAAGTATCACAAAGACAACTAGCATCCTACATAATATAATGACAACACTCACCTCACAGACGTAATCCACAACTATCAGCACAAACCAAAGAAATATGGGTGCTACAAACCTCCTAATAAACCATACAAGGTAAACCCTTAGTCTTCATTCTAAAACTAGAAATTTGACCAACAGTCATTCCAGGACAAAAATTCAACGCTCAAGGTCAAAGTCAACTGTCAAAATCATCGTCAGCTAACTTCCACGTTGTGGCCAGTCCATGGCCACTTCGTGGCTAACGAACTCAGTCCCGATCCAAAACTCCAGTTACGAACAAATCAATCATGAATAATCCAATCCCCATGTCATAGCAGACATGCCACCATGTCGTGGCTAACTCCAGACAAAACGGTTACGGAATCTTGATCCACCACGTCTTGGCACCCAAATGGCAACGTCGTGGGTACTTGATGAAGACAGCTCATTTGCGTAAGCTCTTAATTTGTTAAGCCCTTAACTTAAACTTTCCAGGAGGCTTCTAGGGACCCTAGTGGTTCATAAAAATGTCAACTTTATGGACATGCATGACCCATGCATGTCCTTCACTCACCTAGTTCATAATGAAGAGAAATGACCTAAAATTCCAAGAAAGATCCAAAAAAAATACTCAACCAAAACCTAGATCTGCAAGATATAAGGCTCAAGGGACCTAGATGGGTCATGAAGTTGCAAACTTTATCTCATTGGACCATTGAAAACGCATCAAAGGACCCAAATAAGCAAAATAACCCTAGATCTACAAAGAAGGAACCAAAAAGGTTGGATCTTGAAGCCTTATAAATGGTCCAGAATATGACTTCAAAGATGGGGAGGAGTTGCTTGCTTGATTCTTGCACCCAAACTTCTTGTCTTTCTCTCCAAGTCCACCAATAACACCAAAATGATCCAAAACTTCCAAGGAAGGCTAGGGTTTCAAGTTTAGAGGGTTGGAGGCTGAAGAGGATGCCCTAATCCTTGGGAGATGGTGCTTAAATATGGGAGAAACCCTAAAATTATGGGCTTGGGTTGAAACAGTCGCCACGCCATGACCCTTCTCTTGCCACGTCGTGGGGCTCATCAGGAGGACACACTCATTTAATCCATGCCACATCGTGGGCATCCTTGTGCCATGTCGTGCCATTGAGTTTTTCCAAAAACTACACCTTTGATCCCGTTAAGTCTTTAGTTAAACCATTCTGAAAAACGGGTGTTACAAGCAACCACCACGTCGCGGTGCTCATCAGATATACGAGATTCATAAAATCCATGTCAGGACGTGGTCATCCACGCACCACGTTGTGGCATAGGGGTTTTCTCCAAAAACCCCATCTTTCATCCCACTAAATCTTCAACCATTTTAGAAAACAGGTGTTACAGTTTAATGGTTCAAGAAAAATCGATGTTGATTCAATAATAATAGCTATTGATCTAGAAAACTTCCAAAGATTAAATTGGTGTTGTAAAAGTGGATTAAATCAACTAGGGAAAAACTCTTGAAGAGTTTTGTAAATGTCGAACCAACAAGGAAAAATGGATATTTTGTTTTGATGTTGAACTCTGATACCATTTTTTATAAAATAAACAAACGCAAATAATCACAAAGAATACCAACAATAAATATGACGATCTTTGGAACGCAAGAATCAACAATAAAAAACAATTGAACACCATGATATAAAGTGGAAACAAAAACCACTATGAAATGACACTCTTATCAAAAAGTTACATGAGTCTTAAAACTCCAAGGAGAGAGAGAGAGAGAGAGAGAGAGAGAGAGAGAGAGAGAGAGAGAGAGAGAGAGAGAGAGAGAGAGACTTGACATCAAAATGACTTTATATAATAGCCTTACAAGTTCTCCTAATGATACTCCAAAATCTGAATAAATAGGAAACATTCTTAAATAAATTGGAGGTGTCTTAATCAAATAATAACTTTTTTAATATGTGTTATTTTCGAAACCTAAATATGAAAATAAACATGCATTAAAAGTGCTTCACAACATTTTCAACACATACGAATGGAGTAATATGAGGTAAGATGTAGACAACTGTACCTCTCGACGCAATTGTACTTCCATATATAACCTGTGCCATATGATACGTTAGCCCAAAATTAACAATATAAGGAAGATGAGGGGATATGGATAGCACAAAAGGTAAATGAAGGTGATACGGACCCATCCCATACTAGGCCCGCATCAAACCATAAGCCCAAGTGTAGAACTCACTCCCAAAAGTCAGCTTGTAGGAGGAGGGGACACCTAGACTTATAAGCTACCAACTTATAGTACTTTCGGCCGATGTGGGATCATAACAGAAGGAATTAAACTAGGGTCGTCTATATTACTCCACTAGCTTTATTTTAAGCCTGAAACCCTTAGACGCGGTCAAGCTCTCAAATGAGCAAATAGCATTTATATAATTATTAATCAATCTTGAAAGCATACTATATGTACAATGTCATATACATATCATGAGATTTTCTTATAATTCTTCTACCTAGTCAACAACAATGATAATAGATCAATCTCTTCATCAATATTGGTCCCAATTTGCATCATCGGACGGCCATATTACTGTCTCCATGAGTCGTTCACGCATCAACTCCAAATTCTGGTCTGATAAATTTTTGTACATTTCCCCATGATCCACTTTCTAACAATACACAATAACAAAAACAAGTCAAATTTACAATTTAAAAACATCACACAAAAACATTACTCATGCCATACCTTTATCCATTTTCCGTAGAGGTGAAGCCGAGTCACCATTACTCTTTCGGCAAGTTCATGTTTCTCCTATCAAAATAAATTACACCCATAAAAACATGTTTCTACCAATTTATCCGAAATTAGATACCTTCAATCTTGAATTTTTGTTCCATAAACCATGAAACTTCAATGTAACTTTCCGCATTTTGAAATAGGTTTCATTTCTAGCATTTACCTTTTGGAGGACGCGAAGAAACCGCTTTCCATCACTCGGTTTGTTCAACACCACAAAACTGTTAAAATGATAAGTGAAAGTAGAAAATCAGTTTCTAGTGCTAGACTCGATGCTCAGATACCTTGTTAGATATGTGAAATCTATAAAAGAGGCCTTTATATTGTAGTGAGACTACAATTATATATCAGATAAGATCGTGTCTGCAGATATGGGACCATAACATTGAAAAAGTTGAGAAACATAAGAAACATGGAAGTAGACATCTTACTCGTAAAACCAACGATATTCCGTTGGGTTCATCTCATAAAGTTGGTTCATAACAGTCCTCACTGCTTTGTAAGTGAATAGATTAAACAATTGCTGAAACAACAAAGCAAAAGCCTTTTTGTCATATAACTCGTAGCAAAACACCAATGACACATGAATGCAATTAGTTAAATCGATTGGTGGTCTCTGTATTAGATTATCGATTAAGATCAAATAACCCCAAAGACTAGAAGATTTGAGCATTTTTTTTTTTTGTTTAATAACTTAGCAAACGTCTTTATTGATAGAATGTTTTTGGTAGAGAATGGAATCTGTCCAAAGAATCCGGACGTGGAAGAATTGGATTTTGAAAGAATTTTAATGACACACTTGAAATTTAATACTAAAACTTGAATATTTTTTAATTTTCAGTTTTAAAATTTTCTATTTTCTATATATAAGGGTAATTTGGTCTTTTAATAATAAAAATGAAATTGAAAGAATATACAGAACTTAGTTCGGTAAATTTTGCAACCACACAAGCCACATAATAGAATCTTGGATTCGAATTCCGTGTTGGAATCAATGAATTCGATCAACAGGAAGTCTAGCATAACTTTAGTTCAAGTTGAACTTAATGGGTTTAAGTGACTATAACATAAAGATACTACCAAAAATTATTAAAACTAATTCAATAGTAATAAAAAAGAGGGAAAGATTTAGCATGTTCTTACTGCTTGAACATCACGAAAACTATCTTCATATTGTCCACCAAGTTCATTAACAATCACAAGACCTTTAGCTTTTCTTTGCTTCATGCACGAAGGTGTTTTGGCTAAATACTTAGAGTGAATAAAAGAACTTCTTAATTCCAATGAACCAGGACGAAATTTATGCTCACTTTTTGTTTGATTCATATGAGTTTTTGATGTGAAAGAATCCAAACACAAACATGGCGAAGTATGTGAATCCACAACCGACCTACCCACTACAGATATACCCCCTACCATCCTTCAAAAATAAGCTTCTTTATGTGAAAAAAAATGCAGCTTTTTTACCCAAATCAGAATGAAACAGGAATCTTCAATGAAAAATAAGAGATAACCTGATGAAAATAGAAAGAAAGATTTGTTGGGTGTCCTATAAAAATGGAGATTGAAGACTAAAAATGAAGTTTTATGAACTTGGAGGAATAAATGGGTGGGTACAAAGTGAAAGGTTTGAATAAGTGTTGAGGAAAAGAAGTAGGATTTGAAGAGAATTTGTGGGAAGTGGGAGCGATGACCAGAAAAAAAAATATGAGGTCCCAAATACTCCAACCACTCAAGGTTCTTTTCTGGAATGCTTAAATTTAAATCATCAAATTAAAGGATGATAATTTTGAGTCGTTCTAGACACGTGGATGGTCAGTTTGTAATCTGGACAAGTGTAAGGTCTTGTGTTGTGTAGTGTTTAACTTGTGAATTTGCACATAGAGCATGTTACTTGTGGGGAAGGCTACCAAACTTCTTTTTCGTTTGTTTAACTACTTTCCAGTTCTATTTTGCTCTTTTAGAAATAGCCATCTGTATGTCTGTATGTGTTATCTATAACCATCTTACGGTATTTTTCTACCCGATTTTTAGTTTAAGACCAACTCCAATGGTCCATTAAAATAAAAGTATTTTTCTTTAAAGCTTTTTAACCAACCTCTAAAATACATCATCTCAGTGAAAACTCGTTTTCATATCATAGTTTTTTGGTTATTTTTGAAGAAATGGTATTCAAAGCTTCTCGGGTATTTATTTGCGGATTTGAAGACCGGTGTTAATTTGAGGGGGAGTTGATCTTGATCGCTCGAGCTCGTTTGGAAACTGAAGCCGGGACATCCAATCCTAACTTCGAGAATGTTAGGGTGCAAAGTTCTCCTTGATGTGGAGTGTAGGCTTACCCTCTTGTATGTGTAAATGAGTTGAGCCTTTCCTATAATTAGGAAGTGAATGACTCCCATTATATAAGAGACCCATTTTGGAGAGTTAGTTTAGTGAGAGAAAAACATAACCCACTTGTACTCTGACTATTCTAATAGAGTTTAACGTGATTATTTACTCTTGGGGTTCTTGATGTTTCCATGATTCACTAGATCTTTTCAATTCCGCACATGTCATCATAATCAGGATCACTACAATTGGTATCAGAAGAGGATACAATTAGTTGTTTCTGGTTTTCTTGTTTTTTTCAAAAGTTTTGAATGTTTATTTCCGATTCAAAAGATTTCCGCACTTTTGATTAAGAAAACATGATCTAATCAACTTATTTGTTTCGATTCTACGTTTAGTTTGACAAATCGAGTGTACTCTGGTCTTTTTCTGAAAGAATCATTCGTTAGATTTCCTTTTCTGAATCATTTCATCATTTCAGTCTGTACAACAATGACGACTTTCAACATGAACACAATGTCTAGCTATTCTCATCTGCTTGGATCTTCCACTAAGATTCCAATGCTTATCCCAGAGTACTAAAGCAATGGGCATATCGCATGGAGGACTACCTCAATGGTATTGACGAGGATTTATGGAGATGTGTTACGAGTGGTAATTACTGTCCAGGAAGGTTTGAACAAATTGGAATAGTTGGTTCTTCGGGTGATGTTGCAATGCAAGCGGATAAACAAAAAGCGAATGATAAAAAGTGTTTACGAGAACTTCATGGTGCTCTTCCACCTGTTGTTTATAATTTTGTCCGGGGTTGCAAGACGGCTAAAGAGATCTGAGATAACTTGAAGGAAAAGTATCAAGGGAGTGAGAAGACGAAGAAGAGCTCAGTGAAGCAGTGTTTGTTAAAACTTGGAGAATTCAAGCAAAAGGAAGGTGAAACTATCGAACTCTACTATGATCGTCTCAATGAGTTGATCTTCAAATGCAACCGTTATGGAGTCACACGTTCCACACTTGAATATAATCTAACATTCTTGATGGGACTTCGAAAGAAATCGAGAAACATTAGCTTAATGATCAAAACACAGCAAAGCTTCGATCGATACTCAGTGGGAGATCTTTACAATGTTCTCAAAACTCATGAGAACGAAATCAATGAGATAGTTGAAGAATGGAAGATGAATCTGGGAGGCCCTCTTCCCTTGATGTCGAAGGTGTCTACAAAAGAATCTGATGTTGAAGTAGCTAAGAAGGTTGATTCTGAAGACGAAGGTTTTCTTGTGAATTCGGAGGATGAGGTTGTGGCGTATTATTCCAACAACAAAGTGAAGAAGTTCTTCAAGAAGCCTTTTAATCCTAAGTACAAAAGCAACAACGAATTCAAGGGAAATTCGTCATCTGGGAAAGGAATGAGAGAGGAGTCAAAGGTAGAGAAGAAGGAGAGCAATACTATTGCTGAGAAGGCTGAAAAGAAGTTGAAGGGAGATTCTGGTTTCGATTGCAATTACAACAATGGTGTGAACGATCTGGCAGTTGATTGCATGCTGAGGAAGAGAGAGGAGAAGAAAGAAAGAGTGAAAGATGAGGAATATTATGTGGAGAGGTTGGAGGAAGTGAGAGCTAAGACAAAAGGGTTGTCTGTAGTTGCGAAGGGAGGAGCTGAAAGGGATGGAACCTACTAGGTTTGGTCGTCTGGTTCCGACGATGAAGAAATGTGAAACGTAACCCATGGCGCAATGTATGCACGTTTCGAAGAGGGCAATTCTGATGAGGAGAAGATTACTGGGAAATGCTTCGTGTCGACAAGAGCAGACAAATCTCCTACGACATTGAAGGTATGTTCTCTTCTTGAATCTTTTGACATTCCTTCAAGTTCTTATCTTGATATTTTATCTGATTTTGAGGATACTTTCTCTTATGTTAATGACTTGTTAATTTCTATTAGTAGCGAAGCTGAAAGGTCAAAATCTTTGTTGCTAGAAACTCAGAACCATTTGGAATCTAAGATAAGTCGAAAAGATAGTCTAGAGCTACAACTGAATAACATTACTCTAGATAGGGATGTTGTTAGATCAGACAATATTATGTTGATGAAACAAATAAATTTTATTGTAATAGTGAAAAAAGACTTTATGAAAAACTAACTGATCTTCATCATTCATCTGACATAAACAAAGAACAACATAGGAAGTTATTGCCTTTCCCAGTATATGAAAGAGAGAAAATCGATACAACTTCTTATGATTGTGAGAAGAAAATCTCAGAATTCGATAAAGTCCCTAATGATTCTTATGCTTATGGGATTGTTAGAATTGATGAATGTTTGAATGTTAATGAATTAGTGCATATTGTGAATGAGACTCTGAATAAGACTGGACAAATCAAAATTTTGAACATGAGTGAGACTTCGACATTAGACTCTCAACAAATTTTTTCTGATATCGAAGATGACTCTGACAATATCAGTGAAATTGAGGAAGAGGAGACTATTGAATGTTCTCAATTGTTTGTCATTAATGTCACTTTGATGGCCAAGGGCAAAGAAATTTATCATGATTCAATGGAGAAGGTTAACACTGACCAACCCTCTACATCAAAGGTTCATGAATATGACCATGTGGTTGTCGCAGATTGTGAGACTGATAGTGATGATGACGACGTTTCGATTGAAACAACTATTCCTCGAGTTGTTGTTGAGCAGGTTTATGAGGAAACAAAACAGTTCGAAAAAGTGATGAAATAAAAGGGTCCTCATTATCTTTAATTCAACTCTATTGTCTATCCGAATTTCAAGTGCACCGATGAAGTTATGCTTCCTAATCAAGTGTTCATTAACACTGGAAATGGTGACAAAGTTAATCCAGAAATCAAGAAACTTTTTGAGGAAGACAACAAAGCAGCAACGAAAGACGGGTTTTTCTAAAACCAAAGCACAGTTGAAAATACCCTAAACAAAAACTCATCGACTTTTCAAAGACAAAAACCGAAACGAGTTTGGAAAGTTTACTAAGAGCTCACTAATGAGTACTGCATCTTCAAAATTGTAACCTTCCCATGGCATCCTGCAGTTACTGGGTCTAATCCTCCATGAAAAGTAAGAAAGTCCGCATATTTTTTACAAGAAATCTCTAGCCTGCGAAAGATCTTTTTCTTTTTTTTAGTATCAAGCTGTTGATACTAGATAAATGGTAACTCAAAGACCGGGTTTCACTGTTGTGTTGGTTAATGCCCAACCACCTTCAAGGAAAAGCTATGAGATCGAAAATACTAATTTTAATCATCTGGATTTTCCAATTAATCATATGATGTTCATCTCTTCTCAGTATTAGTTGATTGATAAGCTCGAAGATAAATATATGTATAAGAGATTGAAGTTAAGGTTTCATGCTGTTCTGGGAGAGAAGGAGGAAGAAGTTTGGTCTTCTGTCAAAATTGTCAAGGTGTTGAACATTTCTAGAGAAAGTCTGTTCGAGGGTCTATTGCAGAATTTTCGATACTATGTGGTCAGGAAAACAATGTGGCTTGTGACTTCTCTGTGGCTGATTTCCCTCTTATGAATCTAAATGATCTCATCATCAATGTGGCGAAGATATTAAGAACTGTCAATGTGTCAAAGCTTCAAATTAACAGGAAAGATGATTTCTTGATTGGTTTTGCTCATATCAAAGTTTTCGTAGATAACTATTATGATTTATTGGTTGTGATGGATATCGCGCTTGCTATGGTAGTGAACAGAACTTCGAAGGTGCCTTAGTCGATGCTCAAAGGTCAGGGTAGTCTTACAAACTATGATGATGAGGAGATAGTTCACAAACCTTTGGGAGTTTTCTTTCTTGGGAAGAACAAGCAAAACAAGATGACAAAGTTTCTGTTTCAAGTTTGTGATGTGGAGATCTACACGAACTCTCAGTATACAAGTATTATGGTTCATCTTGGAAATTGTAAGAAGAATTCTGCAAAGGCTAAAGCTAAAATCCAAAAGACGATCATCTGGTACCAAGATTCTCCGAGTACTTCATCAGTCCATGAAGATGATGATGCCATAGATTCGACACTTCTTAGTAAGGGGGAGATTGTAAAGTTCGAAGTAAGAAGTGAGGTGTCGAAGTACAGTTAGGCCTGGTCAGTTTCGAAGTTGTTGTATTGTATTTCGAAAGTATGTATTACATAAGGCATTGTGAGAGGTCGAAGCTCTCATGTCTAGTCCTTATGTATTATTTGTATGCGTCTGTTACTCCCTATAAATAGGGGTAAGTATAGGAGTCGAGAATACTTTTGAGAGCGTGAGCACTTTAGTCTTTATGTACTCCTGTATTCTTTCAGACGTAATCAAATAGCCAAAAAGATTCTATTTACATCTTTGTTCTTATCGCATTCAGTTCTTGATTTCGTTCTTAATACTCGATTCAAACACACTACATTTGGTTAATACATCAATTTTGCTACCAAGTAGTTGAGTAAGTTTTTACAAAAAAAAATCTCAATTTTATAAAGTTACCATGAAATATTTCAATAAATAATCTTTTTTTGAACGGCAAACATGTTGGGTTTCTTTATCATCAAA